TTAATGTGTGGAGTCTGTATTCTGTTCCATTGGTCGTGGCTCTGTTCTTGTGCCAGTACCAAATTGTCTTGATTACTGTGGCTTTGTAGTAGAGCTTGAAGTTGGGGAGTGAGATCCCCCACTACTTTATTCTTCCTTCTCAGGATTGCTTTAGCTATTTGGGGTCTTTGGTGTTTCCATATGAATTTTTAAACTATTTGTTCCAGTTCATTGAAGAATGCTGTTGGTAGTTTGATAGGGATTGCATTGAATCTGTATATTGCTTTGGGCAGGATGGCCATTTTGACGATATTAATTCTTCCTAGCCAGGAGCATGGGATGAGTTTCCATTTGTTAGTGACCTCTTTAATTTCTCTTAAGAGTGTCTTATAGTTTTCAGGGTATAGGTCTTTCATTTCCTTGGTTAGGTTTATTCCTAGGTATTTTATTCTTTTTGATGCTATTGTGAATGGAATTGTCTTCCTGATTTCTCTTTTTATTAGTTTATTTTAAGTGTATAGGAAAGCCACAGATTTCTGTGTGTTAATTTTGTATCCTGCAACTTTGCTGAATTCCGATATTAGCTCTCAAACTACAGCAAGTTTTAAAGCCAAGAAAAAACTCAAGTCTGTTACCAAAGCCCACACTCTTACTTCCTAAATCCTGTTTTCTGGGTCTCAGTAATATTACGGGTGTAAGGATGAGCAGAAGAGTCCTTTAGTAGTGGTTACATTTGTTTCCTAGTGTTCAGAACTGAACTAACTGAAGACCCTTTGTCTTTTACCCCTACGCAGCTCCCCAGACTTGTCTATGCTCACTCTCCCTGCCACACCGCATACAACTTGATTTTTCCAGACTCATCAAGCTTTCCTGTATCTCCATGTGGTATTTGTTGCCATGTGGTTTCCCTGCTGGGAACGTACTTTCTCTATTCTCTGTGTGGCAGAGACGCCTTTCAAGAATATTCCAGAGCTGTCCCTTCCTCAGCCAAACTTTTCCTAGTCTTGCAAGAATTACTTTTCCTCTTCCCACTGTTCTCGCCACATTGTGTTAGGCTCTCAAAACAAATCCCTAGCATATTGCTCTTTATTATATGTGTTCATATCTGTTCTTCCCACTAGACTCGGTTGTTCATTCCTTGCTTTTTCTTACTTGTCTTTATAGGAAATCCTAGTACTATTGCACCAAATGCATACTGGGTGCTCAAAATATCTATTGTATGAGTACATGAAAAGAGTTTAATTGGAAAATATAATGGGGACTTCAGAGATCGTTGTTTTGCATTTGGATTTGTAGACCCTAAGACCCACAATTAGTGGGTCACAAAAGAATTAAAGGCAAGAGGTACATCAGAACCAGTGTTAGTTCACTGAGCAAACCCTCAGTCTTAGCTTGTAACCTCCTTGCTGTGAATTGTGTCCTCATGACAAGTAGTCCAAGGTGGAAGATACATCCTGAAAACTGGATTTATTTGGTGACACTTAATGATCTAATGGGATTTTTATTCAGAAGGATGCAGAGGACTTTCTTCATCTATTGATGGCTAAGTTTTCCTTTTCTGGGACTCCTTGAGAAAGAGGGGAAATTGCTCCTTCTGGTATAGTAAGCAGAAACAAACTGGAAATAGGTTTTAGTATAACTATGTGGCAACTACTAGCTCCTTACGATGTGTCCCATGCTGCTAAGAGGGCCTTTGGTCATTCCAAACTGGGTTCTGCATCAGTCAGGGGGACCGATGTGCTTACCCCAGGGCGGTTGGTTGCCTAGCCTAGAAGCCGTCTGGACTACAGGTCCTGGGTAGTTAGAGGCCCTCTATGTACTCGAGGCTACACAATGCTTCAGAGGTGTGATTTATAAAGCAGGGAAGACTTAGGGATCTCAGATGGCCCCCAATTCCACTGGTGAAAGGGTATGTGAAGTCATTAGGTCCAGCACTAACATGTGTCTGTGTCTAACTCAAACTGCATCCCAGAGAGTAAGTGCAAAGTGGTAGAAAGGGGCTAAGCCAGGAGATATGGACCCTGCCATTTCATCCTCTGTCTCTTCTTCGACCTTCATCAGTTATATATTATTATACACACAACATAAACTCTGGCTCCTATCCCAGGTCACTGTTGATATTTCAGGTTGACTGGTGAAAACTAGGTTGTGTGCTAAGAATGATCAGCCCAGGTTATCTGTGGCAATGCAGAAGGAAAGCTTAGCTGTGGGTTCAGCTCGGCTCACAGATCGCATGCCAGGTTGTTAGCATATGGATGCTCTCTGAACACATATTCAGGTCTGGACTGCCATCAGCAATGGTAATGGCTGCAGAGTGAGTTTATGAAATAGGTGTAGGCTGAGATTTCTTCCTGGGAAACTCCTAAAGTGCCTACTTTTTCTTATTTAGAAAAAAATTGGATCCCTTGGCAGGGTGAACTGGCATGTTTTGGTTTCCCTGGACAAGGAACATCAGAGAGAGCTCTTCCTCCTCTTTCTGGTATGAATGAGTGGCCACAATCTCTACTCTGTTATGATCCTGAATCATAATACTGGCAAGAAGCATAACACTGAAAGAATAAGTTATACTTAACCATTTCAAAGATGGTGAGAGTAGTTTCTGTTTCTTAAGCTTCCATTGAAAGCTGAAGGAGGCCTGTAGTTTTAACTACTGCTGTTTGAGAGGGGGAGGTTTTGCGGAGGCTCATTATTTTAACAAAACTTATGATCATATTCTCTATTAGACTGGATGCTCTTGAAAAGTGATCTTACTACATTATTACTTCTTTGAATGGACAGCCCCCTCAATACAGTAAAACACCACTCCACTAGG